CATGATTTTATTTGCGTAGATAGGGAAAATGGATGTCGACGTAAATGTCCCTAATTTGGACCCATACATAAATTCAGCAATCAACTATATTTTCAATAGCGACCAAAAATATCCATTAGTACCGTCTCAATGATGCGTTCATCTAGATAAAATTGATAAATAGCAGATTTTTTGCGATGGGCCCAATCTTAGATCCATAGGCCAATATTTGAGCCATTTCCCCTATATGGTGAAATATATGTTCTAACGGAGTAGCGAAATAAATTTGGCAAAGCATGAAAGCAAAAAAGTTTATTTTAAGAAAGGACCAAAACCTGGTGCACTTACCCTAGCACTAGTATTTTTGATAATTATGATTAATGATAAAAGTAAAATGTTGTGTACGATTAGTGATTATGATAAATGAATAAACTAAAATTCACAATGATTGATGATTTAGATGATTCTTTTTAAAAATCATGATTATCATCCATAAACTACGTAGACAGTATTTGAGACAGTCTTAAGTCACTCTCTCCTTGCATAGACAGTCATTCATACAACATTTATCATGTAAAACTAAGTATGGTCACTTTCTAACCCCTCTCTCTGAGCTGTCTGTCAAATTGTATGACCACAATCAACCAAAACTATCGCGAGAACAGAGAGAGAGACGAACCGATTGTGAGGTTATTAAAGAACTTACCTGTAGTTCTTCTGTGGATATGGCGGTTGTCACATCGTTAGACATTGTACACGGTTGATGATACTAACTTAAAATTGAGTAAATATTTAATACCGTTGAACCACGTTTAGCTTCAATTGCTCAAATTGTATTTAAACGGCGCTCACTTTGAATTTGTTTACCGGGTACCCCTACAGTGCCCAATGGCACTACGCAATGCAATGCAATTTTGAGTTGAATTCGACAGGTACTGAGTTACTTTTATCGGCCGTGTAGACTTATATCCTTGATTTTCGTCATAGGAGCTACAAAGTATGTGTTTGACTCGTAAAACCTGTCAATTTCACTCTCAGAACGTCACAATTAGCGATTTTATGATTCTGCTTCTCTGAAAGGAAATATATCCTCACAGTTCGTTAACACGGTTCATTGAGGTTAGAACGGTCGGTACATAATCTCATTACCGAAAGACGCGATATCACGGTGGGACGAATCAATGGACATCACATACCGGCGTCTTCTAGGAACGGAACTCAGACTGTCTAAGGATTCGGACCCATGGACCGGGGACCAATGTCTTTACTTCCGTGATCAGAGATTGAACCCAGGCCCTATGGGGTCGACTTGATGCCCGGCACCGATACACTTAGGTCTCAGTTTTACATTCCAAGCTTCAATACTGTCACACCACTGACCAAACAATATGTCCTGTCAGTGATTGTCACTCAGTTTGACTGACCCTCTTTCCATTCCATTCCATTTGATATTAATGGCTTGCTTAAGTCAACATCTCAACTGGATAGAAGGTTACAGTTAACACGATTTATTTTGTAATGGACAGCTCAGTTCTGAGCCGGCGCCGGTGGTGTAGTGGTAAGCGTGACTGCTTTCTCACACCCCAATGGGTCTGGGTTCAATCCCAGCCGAGGTCGGTGGGATTTTTCTGAGGCATAAAAATCTCTGGTCACGTCTTCCTTCGGAAGGGAAGTAAAGCCGTTGGTCCCGGCCCATGTGTGTTTGAATGGGTGCGATATCCTACGCAGGTGTGGAAGCTGCCTTCCTGCACATTCGATTGCCGTCAATGGATTGCAATCGATGTCCGTCGGTGATTGGCACTAGATTGCGGAACAGAGACCGACGTTAAATAAAAGAATGAATGAATGAAGCTCAGTTCTGAATTCTTACACCCGGCAGCGCAACCATATGATTTAACTTATAATTATTTGCTTTATCCTGAAATCTCAACTAGATAGATGGTTGCTGTTTTTAGCAAAGTTGACCATATTTATAAAACCTATTGCAAAGCGGCCAGTTTAGTTGGAAATATCTTCACCAGCCGGCTCTAGTGTACGAAGTGACTTGCTGCCTTTGCTTGGTTGAGTTTTTTAGATGCACAAGGCCTATTGGATGGTGCACAGCTTAGTTCAGAATTCTTTCACCAGAGAAGTAAGTGTGCCTTTGACACAATGATTCTTTAAATTGAAATTTGGATAAGTTCTTCTTATTCTTTAGTTCTGTCTTCAACTTTAATTTCATCTGCTGTTTTTGACTGACGTCGTTGTGAAATGTATCGTATTGGCTTGTAATGTATTGATTTGTCAGTATACGATTTGCAACTTTCATGGAAAAAACAGCGAAAGAAAGTCGGACAAAGACTTATTAAAATGGTACTTTAACATTTGCAAATTTAAATACAGCCCTATGCCTTGTATAAACGAGTAGAGATCAGTTCAAACTCACAAAAATATGTTAAAATCAAATAAATTAATTGATTTTCAATTTATTGAATTGCAGCGTTCGCTATTTGTTAGCTTTTTGTTTTAACACAGATAAAGGGCAAACTCAAATGAGATTCAATTGATCTGTCATAATTCTACAACATCAAAATATAATAATATGGTGGATTTTAAACTGGTTGGTACATGAAATGCATTTTAATAAGAGGATTTTCAGTATTTTCACTCCGGTTACAGTAAATACACATTATTCAGTAGGTACCTGAAAATTGGATGAACATGTTTGAAACCTACATAATTATGAATGGGATAGTAACTAATTTTTGAAATATGAAAATTGAATTCAATCAAAGATATTGAATATCGCCTAGTTTAAAAACTATTTATGGTAGAATAACATTAATACATCAATAAATTTGTAATTATTATTAAATTGAACAAAAAAAAAACAATCTCGTAATCCTACGCCAATAATGCGGTCATGCTTGGGACATAACCCTTAACTATTTGTTACATCTCAAAATGTGACCAAATTTAGTGCAACCTTTTTCAATAAATCAGAAAAAAAAATCAAGAAAAATATGGAGGCTAATCGATACAATTAACATTGAGTAAAAGCAGAATGTTATTAAGTGTGATGTGATTTGAGTATCACATCAACACATTCCTAACCATTCCTCCTCGGAAGCGGATGGTGCTTATACACAGTAAAAAATAAATTTTAATATTACATCCAAGAGGATGCACTTCAATCATGTCGAAAATTTCATGTAATTTTTATGACCACATAAATAAACAAATGCAGTAAAAGCAGCGTAATGTCAGTTCATGCATTGTATCAATGATAATTTTGTCCTTTTTAGCAAGTAATATTACACCATATTTTCGACATGATTGTAGTGCATACACTTTGACGTGATATCAATATTATTTTTTTGCTGTGTGGAGACTCAATACACAACTATAGGAACCTAACGCTTCCAACGTACCGCAACTATAAGAGCGTTTACCCTACACCATATTATTATCACGATTGAAGTGCATCCACTTTGATGTGATATCAACATATTTTTTTTTGCTGTGTATGCATTGCCTATTATAAAGTTCGAGATCACCAGTTTTTACACATTGAAGATGATAGCTAGTCCCAAGCATCATTGGTTGGTTCTTTGTCTAGTTACAAGTGATCTGGCAATAACGGAGTCAATCATGCTCGTGCTCATGCTCATTAGACGGGGAATCTAAAATCTAAAAAAAAAACTGTCTACGTAGTTTATGGACAGCCCCTAAATTCCAATGATCGATTTCTGCAGTATGATATGCATCTTCTTTTTATTATTATTCATTATACAGTCAATTCTTCATATCTGGATATTGAAGTGAAAAAAATGGTCACAAATCGAGATACATCGAGATATGGAGGGACTGTATTCACTTCAACACTCTTGGGTCATTCGTTTTCTATGAATGCATGTATCGGGGGCATCTTAAATTTACGTTTTTGTCCATATCTCCGGCACCAAATGGCCGATTAGAAATGCAGTTCAATAGCATTATATTTGAGCCAGAAATACACAAACTGAAATTTGTTCCACTCTAATCGGTTCAGCCATCGCTGAAAAATCGAGTGAGTTACACAGTAAAATTCCGATATCATCGAGCTGAGCCGATTGCTACATGACACTTGTCCCTCCGGGCCTTAGATCGAAAATATTTTTTCAAGTGATATTATAACCTTTCGGTACTAGGGTAAACGCTCCTATAGTTGCGGTACGTTAGAAGCGTTAGGTTCCTATAGTTGTGTATTGAGTCTCCATACACAACTATAGGAACCTAACGCTTCTAACGTACCGCTACTATAGGAGCGTTTACCCTATTCGGTGTACGCGATGATAATCATAAACTTGTTTTTTTTTAAGAATATGCATGGATCAATTATAACCACAATGTTCATAATGATCATATTTATCATGAAAAAACACCTCTTTCGAAAGTTAAATAATTTTCTCCATTAACAACGATAGACATTGCCTGGACTGCTTTAAAGTTATCACACTATGGATTTGCTTGAAAAGGGTGTGTTTGTGTGTTTTGGAGGAAGACAATCCCTCGTTACAGTATCTTTTTCAGGAAATGTCCAATAAATAAAACCACATTAAGGAACAACGAATAAAAGCATCGCCAGAAGCCTCAATCTAAACGAATCAAATGATACTTCCTTACCGCGGTCGTACCCGCAATCGGTAGTGGGTGTATCACTTTGCATTAGGAATGCGTCGTGTGTAGACAAAACAACCACCAAAGACCAACAAATTACATAAGCTCATAAAGTTATGACCGTGTGAAGCTGTTGAGATCTTTTATCCGTGAAACTTGTTCGTTATTATTCGTGATTCTCACGTTCCTTGTGTTGGCACTACATGTATACATGGACTTGGGTATTTCTCGTTCGAACAAAACAACGGTAGAAAAATGCCAATAATCCCAGTCAGAATACACAAGTAGTATCAAATGTATGGAAATCCCTTATCACTATTTTGGAAAAGGCAGTCAGTTCTTGATATTGTATAATAACATGATTTTTACTCTTGTTCTTTCAGATTGCGGTGACGACGATTTCACATGCAGTAATGGAGATTGTATCACAGCTGAGCAGCAATGCGATGGCCATGAGGATTGTGATCATGGCGAAGATGAGCTGCATTGTTCAAGTGAGTTTCCGATCCAAATCTTCATTGTATTTGTCATTCACGTGTTATAAAACTATTCCGTCATTGGTGCACATTTTCTGTTTTCACATAACATAAATTGGCATCATTCGAATCAAAAATCAAAATTAACTATGCACTTTCTAATTGGGTACTTAAATTCATTGCATGCCTGTACACTAGAACGAGAATGTGCATCAAGTGAATTCCAATGTAACGACGGCCGTTGCATATCGAAAGAAAATGTATGCGATGGAATCAAACATTGCCATGATGAAGAAGACGAGGATTGTGAGTTCGAAGGTATATAACAATATTTTTATCAAAATTTATTCTAAACATAACCTCCCTAAAAAATGGGTACTAGTAGTGATATTCCAATTTCAGTGTAAATACAATTTAACACAAATACAACGTTGAGTTTGACCGAAAGGAACTCACAAATACCGAAAATTTTATCGATTTGACATTACGGTAATCTTTCCTGTTACGACTGTTGTTGATTATTTGGTGCATGTAGCTTCGGCATTCAGCCTAATAAAATAGCGTTGATTACCATTACGTTTTGGTCCTGGTATGGAACCTTCATCAGGGCTTGGAACTAGGAACAAACTGCTTTTCTCCTCAATCCATATCTACCTCAAAGAAACGTAGTATGTAATCGAATACACACTACAAAAAAATCAGTTTTTATGCAAAATAGCTTAAAATAACAACAATGAAATAGATTAACGTGCTACAACCTGAAGGAATTCTCTAGTGAATGTTTTTAAAGTTCCAACATCGATCGTTAATATCAACCTGAAATCGACAACGCAAATTTCGAATACCTTGTAAACAACCACAAGCCTCTGAACTGCCACAAAAGTGAGGTTAAATCTTCCCGTCATACAGGGTTGCATCGATTCACTTGTTTAAAAAAAATTATTTGGCAATTTGATTGATTCATTAAATGTTATACTGATAGTTTGTATATTAAGTTACAACAAGAGGTGGAAAAGTATGTGTTTGACTCATAAAACCTGTTCCGCTTTCAGAGCGTCACAATTAGCGATTTTCATGAATCGTAAAATCGCTGATTTGATGTTCTGTTAGCGAAAATATCCTCACTTGCCGGAGAAAACATGCTGTGAGGATATCTTCGTTAACACGGTTCAACAAGGTTCGAACGGACGTCTCATTATCGACGGATGAAGACGCCATCGAATGAATGAAGGTATATCGCATGCCGGCGTCTTCTACGAACGGAACACAGACTGGTGTCGCTCTTTGAACAGTACAACGCGTTTATGGAAACTACACCAAGCTTGGTCACAAGCGGCGCCAGTGGTGTATTGGTAAGCGTGATTGCCTCTCACCCCAGCAGGCCTGGGTTCAATCCCAGTCGGTGCCGCCAAGATGTTCTGAGGCATAACATCTTTGATCACACCTTCCTTCGGAAGGGAAGTAAAGCCGTTGGTTCATGGTTTGATGGGTCGATAGGTAGGGTCTTGGTATGGGAGCTGCCTCCCTGGCGTCGGTAGCATTGGTGCTCAGCACGGAAAACAAGATCGACGGAAAACAAATCAAGGAAAAAAAAGCTTGGTCACATGCGTGAGGTGAAGGATACGAATATGGAGTTTTTTAAACGATGCTACCTCCCACACCATCCAGTCATCAAGAAGGCAAGTACCACTACCAAGGTTAGAATGGTTTTCGACGCATCGTGCAAGACGTCAAGCGGAGTGTCAGTCAAAGACGTGCTAATGACAGAGGCAGTTGTTCAGGAGGACCTTCGGCACATTATACTCCGCAGTTGGACACAACAGATTATCCTTGTGTCGGACGTTGAGAAAATGTTCCGGCAAATCCTCATTTATCTACTGGAACGGGCATCAACTAACTTTTTTTTTTTCAACAACATTCTGCAAAATGATGTATAGAGCTTTTGTAGGTTTTGTTATTAGCTACAACTTTTGTTGCCTCTAACTTTTTTTTTCAACAACATTCTGCAAAATGATGTATAGAGCTTTTGTAGGTTTTGTTATTAGCTACAACTTTTGTTAACAAGTCAAATCCGTATCTCTTATGCATGTATTTTACATTCACTGAAAAACAGTAGCAAGTTCTGCCCGCTCTAGTTCGTGATGCATAAGAGATACAGATTTGAGTTATGAGGAAAACTTGTAGCTAATAACAAAACCTACAAAGCTTTATACATCAATGCTGTTGATGAAAAAAGTTAGAGGCAAATGAATGTAAATGAATGTATGAAATGAATGCAAATGATTTTCCATGCCATGCCATGCCAAGTTTAACACGGTGATGTATGGCACGAAATCGTCACCTTTTCTTACTACTAGAAAGCTTCCACAACGGCTTTGGACGAGTAGGGTGTGGACGACGAAGAAACAGCAATGACCTTCCGGGTACAGTTGAATTCAATGATGTCAGGTGGTGGTTTTAAGCTGCGCATCGAACTATCCGGTAGTGCTGGAAGGATGTCCTGAGGAAGATTGCCTTGGACCCAGATCACTTGATCAAAATACTGGGGTTGACTTGGATGCCCTGCACAGATGCACTCAGGTTTCATTTTTCAATTCCAAGCTTCAATAGTCAATACTGACACACCACTCATCAAACGATATGTCCTGTCAGTGATTGTCACTCTGTTTGACCCTCTGCGGTAACATCGGCAACAATATTCATGCAACAGTTGTGGGCACTATGTGAGAGAGATAATCAAGAGATCTGCCACTACCTTCAACGGTAGGAAAATGTCAAGAACAGCTTCTGCTATTCAATCAAGTACGCATTGATCGCTGCGTCATCATTCCGAAGACTGTCTCAACGGAGATCCACTGTTTTTTGGATGCCTTGCAGAATGCTGTATGTATGTATGCATGTATGTCTCTACATCAGGAGCCAGAATGTCGACTTCTTACATCCAAGTCAAGAGTGGCGTCGTTGAACTGGCAAATTATTCCAAGACTGCAACTGTGTTGCATAACGATCCGGTTCAAGGGAAAGTCGTACTGCTAGACAGATTCTACCCACGTTCTGTGTTATACATAGGCTTCTTCAGTGAATTGGACAACCTTAATCGCAAACAGAGTGTCAACAATACAGTCCATTACCCAGTAATCTCAGTGGCGACAGATATACATAACTTGAACATCGGCCGGTGTAACATCAATTGTATCATTCAGGGTGCGCCAGAACTACCTGAATATCTATGAAACAGCTGTGAGGCTACCTATAAACTACGTAGCTAGTATAGGAGGGAGGTGGTTGACAAGTGTCAACAATTCATGCATATATTTTTTAATTCGCCTGTCTACGCCAGAATGAATTTCTAAGGTAGGAAAAATTAGGTGCATTTCACAGGAAAATTAACAATGCAGAAATTAAATAAATTAATAAATAAAACAATAATTTAATGCTGCATACAGTAACATTTTACAGAATTTTTTAGAACAAGCTATTCTATGATTCTAGATCTCACTCTCTCACTCAAGCATCCTGCGATGCAAAAGGCCAACGTGGATGACTTTTTTAAATAAGAAATAATCTTCTATAAACAATTTGAAAAACTGATATCGTTAAAGTGAAGCGTGCCAAATTGCACCATGCAATATCTACCTGTAAAATGACGTCTACAAATTGGAATATCGCTACCAGGTTTTGATTTGACCCATCTATTTTAATAACACTGATCACACATGTTTACGCCCTCGCAATCGCACATGGAATTACTCACAAGGGAAGAGCATGCAGCTGAAGTTTTGTCCGCTAGGAAAGTTTACTTGTCACGATCACTCGTGCATTTCGATTATAGGACGTTGCGATGGAAAAGTAGACTGCCCTAGGGACAGAGCCGACGAGGAAGAATGTCGTAGGTTTTCCAACTAACAACTAACAATTCGTTCAGCAGTATTAAACTTATTTTTAACGATTCATTTTTTCAACAATCACTCTTCTTGCTACTACTAATCGTCCATTCACTGCTGCTGTGTGGCTCACTTTGTAACATCGAAAAAAGCATGTCCCAGAAATACCTGGCAGTGTGATTACGGACAGTGTATACCGCTGGAGCAGAAATGCGACGGGAACATCGATTGTCCCGATGATATATCCGACGAGCGCAACTGTCCCAGTAAGCTGTAAAACATGAAAATAACACAAAAGACTGCATGATTTTTCATTTGGATATTGTGCATCTAGTAGACATGGCTAGTATAACACCAGTTTAATAATTCGTGTTATTTCTTTTTGCCAGTAGAATAACATTTTGCATGAAATTTTCTAGTAACTAGACTCGTAGCTAAAAAGTCCAAGCAAATTTGATGGCTTTAACAACAAGTGAGTATTTGTTTCCAAAATTTCTTCAACAAAGTGAAATTATACAGCAGCGTTAATTGACACGTGTGCCATTGCTATGTTCGACTGGAATGTACCTTTTCGCAGCAAGGGCATTGAGCTCATTTCCATGTCACGTTCTTATGCAAATAAGATGTTTCTGTGCTACTGAGAGACGACTGTCATCGCTTGCTAATCTTTATTTTTAGTTTCTTTAGTATATTGGTCATTGTGGCCAGTCATTAATTATTGATTTTAGAAGCACATCGTTCATAGCTCGTGAATCTATAGTTTACACGTAGTACAGGAGATTACTTCAACAAATTACGTAATAACGGTTCTTAAGAACCTACGCAGCTAAAAAGCTATAAATGCATGTCAATGTCTAGATGATGATGTATTGATGTCCAAAACGGTGAAAATAAAACATGAAAGCGTAAATCTATTCCAAGCGCAGATGCCTTTTGTCATCCAAAAATTCAACTGTAAGTATCTAACATCGCTTCTAGGTGACGAATGTGGTGTGCATGAATTCCAATGTCTCTTGGATAGAGTTTGCATTCCTATGGAGTACCGCTGTAACAGCCGACTGGATTGCTTTGATGGATCTGACGAGAAAGGTTGCGGTAAGTTCGTCGACAAATTAGCTGCTCTTTTGTTGCCAACCGCTATGTTTGTGTTATGTCTTGTGATTGCAGACAGTTCTTTTTCATAAATGCTTTAGGCCGCGGCCAGAGTAGACGCGACACGCGAAGCGACGCGGCCAATTCAGAAGATTTTTATTATTTATTATTATTTCTTGCGTGAGTCGCATCACGTCGCGCTGCGTGTCGCGTCTACTCTGACCGCGGCCTTACGGTTTGAGCAGAAAAGTAATCTTTCAGCTATTCCTCAAACGCAATTGACCTGACTGTGATGCATAGATTTGATAATCATATTTAGAAAGATAATGGTCATGGCAACACCATGATGGCGTAGACTGATGCAAAATTTGAAATGTTCACTGCACAGAACTCAAGCGCTTAGCCTCTAAAAATATTAACTTATTAATCTAGAAACTGACTGTGTTCAAACCGTTTGAAGGTTGTATGAAAATTACTATGGGAAAACCAGCTTTTCGGTTATTACCTTCTAGCGTTTTCCATATTATTTTGAGAAAAAATTCGATAACTCTCCATGTAGAAAATTTCCACGGCTACAACTTTGCTGAAGATCGTCTTTCAGCCTCATGGCAATCTTATGACATGATCAAGAAACTGCTTTGCAGGCAACACTTATTTATGCAGAGTGACAAAGTAGCCATGATTTTGTCCTTTATTCCGCACACCAGAAACACCAATTTTGCCTGCTAAGCAGTTGATTATGCATGATCATAGACATCAGCTTCTAATCATACAACGTGTGGCGAAATTTTGCTACCCATGACATTTAAACGAACATTAAGATTTTCATATTCACGATGAGGATGATAGAATTATTTCTGAGAAACACTTAATAAAATAATGGACACTTGAAATAATATCGTATTCACTCATGTGGGAACTGCAGAGTGCTTTTTAAGCCGATTAGAGTTGTTTGTTTACATCTCATTTAGCCAGGGTAGCAAGATTTTGTCAGGCGTACTATGATTAAAATTAGTGTTGCAAGTTGCATGCAAGCTGATCACCGAACAATTTCGTAAAAATTTAAAATTTTACAACAGGCTAAATTAGACATAAAATTATAGACGTACCGATGTGAGTGTGAGTATAAAAAACTGTTATCGGTGTATCCAAAAGGTCAGCAGCATTTTAGTCGAAATTCATTGTAAGTAATCTTGCCAGTCTGAAACTTGCTTGAAATCCATAATATCAGGTTTTAATAAAAAAAAAAAATGGTTGTATTATGCATACAAATGAGAAGTTGAAAACTAACATTGAAGTGATTTTTGTTTTCAAGGGGCAAGACAACTTAGATTTATTTTAAAATATCATCAAATACTTCTAAATGTCTACGAAAATATCAAGCATTTTCAAAACCTAATGCATGTAAAAAGTAGAGCTTTTTTTGCTGAACAATGATTGTTTTACGGATACTTTTGATTTTAAGTGTAAGTCAATAAAATTTATATATCAAACAATATTTTGATATACTCAGCCACTCCTTGAATTTTTCTAACTTCCATAGTGTCAGCTACTCAAATGAACATGTGGTAGGGATTTCATAAATGTAAAGGATGGCTTCAAACGTAAATTAATCTTCAAGAGATTGGTTCCGTTTTACGGATAAAGAAGAAGTTCCATAGCAGCTGCCAAATAAACGAGACTTCAAAGAATCTCCATAACACATGCTTTAAGTTTGTCAATGCTGGCTATGTTTTTTTCAGTATTTAGCTCATTTTTATACTTCATAAAACTTAGACAGCTGCGGTAGAACTCTACGATAGCCACCGAACGGAAATTTTTCTTAAGATCCGCAATAGCTCGTAACTAACACCACCATGAACTCATATCAAAGTTCTTGTAGAATTTTCCTCAACATTTCCTTTTTTGATGACTGAATGCCATATTTAGTTATTTAAATGGTATTTTAATACCAATCCAATAAATATTTTTGGTGTTAGATTCATAATTCCGAAAAATAGTATTTTAGCTGAAATGAGAATTTACAAACTTGTTTCTTACAAGTATATTTATCACACTCATTCTCAGAGCGATATGGTAAAAGACTTGAACGTAGGGAAACCAAATGAGCTCAAATATTGAGAGAATGATCAGGATCTGATTTTAAATCGCTGGATCAAAACCTATGTTTTGGACCAGCCCAATATGCAAAGCTTGTTAAAAGCTGAAGCATTTTGTTTTAGCAGCATTAGGTAATTTATGCCTGTAGAAGCTGTTCTACAACTAAATTTTTTAGTTAGAAACGATTTGACGATATCTGCAAAAGTTGACGATCAGTAAGGTAGGTAGGTTGAATGTTTTTGTAAGTTTTCTTATTTTTAAGTCTGCATGTATTCAGCTTTGACGCTTTCAGTGTTTTTATTGGCTTATTCGTAGTTATTTACAATAATTCTTCATTTCTACACATCTAAAATATCTGACAACAACAAAAACTTCTACTACTACTACTACATCTGCATGGTAATGTATTAACCGTTATTGGACAATTATTGATGAACTTCTGACTGTCCATCCTAACAACTGCATGGTTCTGGCACGACAACAGAATCTTGTAAGGAAGATGATTTCCACTGCGACAATGGCCACTGCATTCCCATGAGCCAAAGATGCGATCGCTTTCATCAGTGCAGCGATGGCAGTGACGAGAAGGGTTGTAAAAGTAGGCTGTGTTTATTTATACCTATGTTTAATTTTCTTGATCACATTTTTAGTCATCCAATCATGTTTGCATCGGGCTTGTTTTGTTTCATATTTAAATTAAATGGTTTGTTTTTATTTCTTTTTTTATTATTTGTAGCGGAAACATGTAGCACTCAAGAATTCACCTGCCTAAGTGGTGAATGCATCAATGATCGTGATTACTGCAATGGTATCGCGGATTGTGATGATGGTTCCGATGAACGTGACTGCCCTCGGAAGTGCGATGACCGTTATGAGGTTTTATTTCTGAATCATTTTGAGTTTTGTATTTAATTTATGTATTATCTTTCTTTCATATTTCACAATCATTCTTTAGTTCACATGCTCAGATGGGTCTTGTATAGCAAAAGAAAATCATTGTAATGATAACGACGACTGTCCTGATGGCAGTGACGAGATCGGCTGTGGTAAGTAGCGAAACAGAGGAATGTTCAAAACTTCATGCCTTTTGCGTGTTTGTGTTGTCGAAGCATCAGTACCGTCCATTTTAAGATGTAGTTTGTAAAAAAAATCGACTTTTTCACATTTATGTTGCATTGTATGAGCTTCATTATCATGTTTTATCTTTATTTCTTAAATGTAAACTTTATTGTTTGCTCTGTGTCGTTCGCCTGTAAGTCGTATTGAAATGTATAGTATATGTTGAGTAGTTGTTATAAATTTCATTTTTAAACGTATTTTATGCATATGCACATTTTTCAACTTTCCCATGCAAACACATTCTATCAAAACCACTTCAAAGTTGATACAGCTAAATTTAACATAAAATTCAAAAATATTAGTGACTAATACAACAACCACGATCATCATCTTTGAATAATAATGATCTACCTTGTGACATAAAAAAAAACTATAAACGACAGCTCAACAACGTACTATGACTATCTGGCTAATATGCATGGAGACGTAAGGATTTCGTTCAGCTAGTTTATTCAGTACTTCACCACATGTCCAAAACAGAAAAAAAATATGAACCTATTTAATCGTCCTTTTGTCCATTCTAAGCACCGTCGCTTTTATCATACAAACGAAAATGCTTTGATGATGTGATTTCTCTTAATAAATGTAGCTCATAATTTGATACCTTAACCTTAAGATACACAAATTGTTTGCCTAAGGTCAAATGAAAAAGTATTTATCGAAAAACAACTGAGCAGCAAAAACTCTCAAAAACTCTTACGCCTCCATGCACCAAGCAACGGAACTGAATGCTCGATCAAATAACATTGCAATCAAAATACATCGCCCCAGACCTAAATAGATCAATTAATTTTTATACCACCCAGACGATAACTCGCATTTAAAATCATTGGATCATCATCACAATCGTGCTAGCGCTACTCATCATCCACACCATGGCCAACATCAGCCGGCTCACGGCAATCGCTGCGGACGCGACAATTTCCAGTGTCACGATGGCATATGTATAGCAGGCTACAAAAAGTGCAATGGAATTGTTGACTGTCACGACGAGTCCGACGAACTCGATTGTCCATACGGTATTCCATTCGTACTCATAGGTCCAAGCCAGCCGACTCTAAGAATAAGCTTTCATTCAACTTACAAGAAATACCTTTCGGCCACTATGTTTTGGCTTGAACCACACCAGTAAAGCCTATTCTTAGAAGGTTACTTGGTTTATTTGGGGTCCATTCATTCAAAATTGCTGCAAGCTTTGACTGTTTGTGTTAAAACAGCTGTAAATTGGCTTTTCGATTGACAAGCATAATCCATTGACCTCAAGAAAGATACGAGGAGACATTGTTTATTTGCACTGGCTTTGATATAACTCACGACTTTTTTTATTGGTTGCCCAATCGTTCCATATTACAAACAAACAAATGACAATCTGCAGCTAACGAAGATGATGATGAAATCTGCAGCAGTGATGAATTTTACTGCGATGGTAGATGTTTGGATAACAGCTTCCGCTGTGATGGTAGAATTGATTGTCAGAACGCAGAAGACGAGGATGACTGCGAAATTGCTGGTAAAGTTTTAATGCGCTTTATATGTAATGACTAATGAAACTAAACTTCACTAAATCTGCCAAATACTACACACTTAGAAATAAATAATTTTACACGTGATGGAATCCATCTCTGACATAAAGGATCAGACGTAAACAAATATTTCATGTAAAATTAAGTGCTCGGAGACTGAAAAGTTCGTAACTCGACGAAAAGTACGTTTGATTTAGTTGAATTTCGCGTCTGTTAGGACTCAATTTTATGTCAAAATTGACGCTCGTATATGTCAGTCTCAGAGCACCTACATTTACATAATTATTTCTTAGTGTGTAGAAAATAAGAACACATAATTTTAGTACGTAGCTTTACTAAAACATGGCTAATGATCTATAAAAAAAAAACTAAATGAATCATAAAGCATTTTTCAACAATCTATATTCTGCAGTTATCATTCGCTGGTTTGGACAGTTTTGAAGCAATCAAGCTTTGTATAAAGAGAAAGAGAAGAATTAGTCATTTCCATTTAATTCCACTACCTTATTGGCGTATCCTTGACAGATACGCGTATTTCGTCTACAATGTGCAGACTTCTTCAGTGTCTTGTACTAATACTCGACTTAGTACAAGACACTGATACAAGGATAAGCAAATAAGGTAGTGCAATTAAATGGAAATTACTAATCCTCCCCCTGATAAAAATTTACCATAAAAAAACAATAGAAGCTATTGTTACAATACAATAAAACCTTTTGTTCAATCAATAAATGTTATTGTCAAAAATAATAAAAAAATACAATAGAACTTATTGTTATGTACAATATAATCTTTTGTTAATGGGACACTTACAATAGAAAAGGGGGGTTGTTAGTTACCGTAACCTTGAAAAAATCTCTTTTTTTTTTCGAACAAATTTAATCTCATTACAATAAATTTTATTGTTTTTTATTGTGCAAAATTTTGATTACATAGAATTTGTTGTAAACCTATTGTGGTGACTATTTCATTATTTGACCAATACAATAGAATTACAATAAGATTGATTGTCAACAATCGAACCTATTGTATTTTATTGATATTTTATTGTAATTTTATGGTTACTTTTATCCGGGCCTCTTTTTCTTTATACAGGTATTCCACTAAGACGTCCACATTCATCAGGTTTAATCAAGCTTTGGTTTTTCATACTAGATTTTTTCCAAGTATCACCAGTATGACATTTTACATGGCTAATTTTCAAAATTTTGTAGAGAACCCTTAACAAGCGAATGATGTCTATATTTATTTGCTAACCCTTTCGGGATGCTTGGGTAGTCTATACCCACCTTCTATGAAAAAAATAATACTCAAATGAAGGTGATTGACAGACACATACTTTCATCAGCAAAGTTGTACGGTTGGATACAACAAAAGAACAAGTTTATAGCCAGATTTATAAATAAATATCCAATTCACTATGAGCACGGAATTCAATCTACCGGGGCAAAATTAATAACTCCGAAACGAAGCATTTATGTGACTTGTTGTCTTAGAAAAGTTTCTCATCATAAGCATAGCTGGCTCCAAAATCTAACCTACTCTGACATTCCGGAGGATCGGCGGCTTGGACAAAGTAGTTTATCTTCTAAAAATAAACAAATCTTCTCAAGCTGTCAAATTCCCCAGCCTACTGTTTCCGGGTTATCTGGAAAACATAATATATGTTTTTGAAAATCCTGTTTTTCAATCTGTTTCGATATTTTCATGAACAATCTAAAAAATTTGTTCCACATCATATTTTTGCTATCGTGGAGTTCTTGTAGATGAAGATCTTCCCTGTTTTCTTCATGACTACAATAGAGTGGGTCAACTGCAAGACAAGAATATGGTGGGTCAACTGCTCCCTGCTGCTGTTTAGATCTGTATTGAGGTGCCAATTTTGAAATAAATTTGTTATGATCTGAATTTGCGGTAGAACTTTAAAATTTGCAAGGTGAAAATTTATTTTTCTAGTCTCGTATGGGAAACGGAACGAAACAATTTTCTTGTCAAAAACTGAAAAATTGTCCAATTTTGACCATATTTGACACTTACATTGGGAAAACTATGCAGAACATCTTGGTCGAAGATCATAATTTAATTCAATAAGAGCTTCAAAATTGTATGTAGTTTTTTGCAAGCGATTATTTGAAGCCTTGTTATATATATTTGACACCTGCGGTTGAACTTCTGCTTCTTCTTCTTGGAATTAATCCGGAAATAAATCTCTGGAAGAGCAATAATCAGGACCATTTTTTGGTATATTCAGATTATTCAAAACGCATCCGCCTAGATGGTGCCAAAACCTAGCTATTTTCTATAACATTCTTCCGGAGTGATTCATGACTTGGGCGTAATTAGTTTTGTAAACAAACACGTAAATCACCGATTGCACGTAACTCACTCTGGACTTGACGTCTTGAACAAAGTTATTTATCTAAAAAAAAACAACTCTTCTGAATATGTTAAAATTCCACAGCTATAATACATTGATTTATCATTTTTACTTTTACTGAGGAATACACTGTCATAGTGCGCCAGGAATGCAATTTTGTTGGACAAAATTAATAACTCCACAACGAAGCATTTCCGTGTTTGTTGTCATATAAATTTTTAATTTTTTTGTTATAATAATGTACCATCTATTGACAAAAACAGATAGTTGAAAAATCCTAACCTTTCACTCCTGAAATTTTGAAGAGTGGACTATTCTGAAGTTGTCAAAATACCACAACCTATTATTTCCAAATTATTTCGAAAACAGACAAAGAAATGTTGAAAAAACTGTTTTCTCAAAAATTTTGGTATTTTTATTAACAACAATGATTTTTTTTATAAATATTGATGTAAACGTTCTAAAAATTAATAGAGTAACGCCTGGCAGATTACCTTGCCGTGGTACGTTACTGGCATTAAGATTTTCCACCGAAGCCTAGTCCAAACTACTTCAAACTAGAGGACCAGGATTGTTTTTGTAATCAAAGGAACATGTTAGTCCTTTTTACTTGTTATGCCTTGTTGATAGTGACAAGACTCGGCTTTGTCCACCAAGGATGATCTTGAAACAAGGAAAAAAATAGATAGGTAGTTATTTATGATCTTTTCTTCGTTGTTCTCTTTATTTGAAGTGGTTAAGACTAAGATTCTAATGCATCGATGTTATTGCTTGATTTTGTTGTGAAGGAATCCATTTTTGACTGACAAAGGGAGCGCCTTTGGAGGAAGTTCTACCGCAGGTGTCAAATATATATAACGAGGCTTCAAAGAATCTCCTGTAAAAAAACTTCAAGTTTGTCTATGCAGAATTAGTTTTTTTTTTGTGTTCAGCTTACTTTCATAATAGCGGTAGAGCTAAGACAGCAACGGTTGATCTCTACGGTAGTCACCGGACAGAAATTTTTATTAAGATCCGCAATATAATAAGTAAATTCACTGAAGACACCAATTGACGCAAAAGCTTCGTTTTTGCCGTTATCAATATTGTCCCACTAGATTACATTCCTGGCCCATAGTACAATGAAGTATATCCAATGATTTTACAGATTTGTTGTCTGATAATCATATTATTTAGCCAAAAGATTTTGGAGTTTATATCTGAAAATTTGCATGATCAGCAAAGACTTTAACGATATTCTCACTATCGAAATATATTCAGTCAGGTTCATCAGTTAAGAAAACTATACAATCCTACTCAGATGTCCTAGGTTCTCCTAACTGATCTAGAGTTAAGATCATGTGAATGAACTAAATCAATCTGAAGAGAGGTGATATTGCCTCGGCCTAAGTGTCGCTAATATTAGGCTCATACATAAATTTCGTAGGCAAGCATTTTTCAAAAATGTTTAACAAGGAACCAAAAATATTCATTTGTACTGTCCATGTACATGTTCTACGAAAAATTGATGAAAAGAAGATTTTTATCGCTGGACCTAATCTTTAGATCCAGCAGGCAAACATTAGCTATTCCTCTAGGATAAGTTTCCTAGACTAAAATATAGTTTAGAATCTCCAAACTGTTCAAGACTATGATTTACTAGATCAACATGGGTTTGTACGATGTCCTGGTCCTCAGCAACTCAGTCAAAATAGGTTCATGGATTATGCACATAATTTACTATCTATTTCCATGTAGTGTTAATGTCCCTAATTTTGACCAAAGTGTCCCTAATATTGAGTCCATACTTAACTGCGACTGTATCAATGTCCTTAGCAACGAAACATATCTAAATAGATTCATGGAACTATGCGCATCATTTACGATACATGTCTTTTGCATATAAGATGTCTAAGGTTCTCCAAATTGTCCTGGATTATAGATCGATCAATTCACAAGTGCAACCACGACTGAGTCAATATCCCTAGCAGTGAAATATGTCCATGCTGATTCATTGAGCCAATGAGCATAATTTACAATCTATTTCCTTGTGGATATGATAATCTAGGTTTCTCAAATCGTGGAGTTCAGATCAAATTGAAACTAAAATTCAACTAGAAATACCACGACTGGATCAACATCTTTAGCAACGAATCATGCCACTGCACACTAGATTGATGCAAAATTTGACATTTTCACTTCACAGTGCTCAAACGGTTCCAAATGTCAGCCCAAAGTATGTACCTGCAGAAAGATGTTCTGCATAGTTTTCCCAATGTAAGTGTCAGATCTAAACAGCAGCAGGGAGCAGGGAGCAGGGAGCAGTTGACCCACCATATTGTTGTCTTGCAGTTGACCCACTCTATTGTAGTCATGAAGAAAAACAGGAAGATCTTCATCTATAAGAACTCCACGAAAACAAAAATATGATGTGGAAAATAAAATGTGAATTAGTTGTATAAAAATGACCGGTTCTGTGACAAGTATGCTACTAGGGTACTTAAATAAAGTAGCATAATTTTCACCAATTCTAGCCCGCCCTATCTTCTCTTCTCTTCACTACAGTTTTCCTATAACTGCCGTTCACAAATTGTGCGTGAACCATCTTTGTTGAAATGTAGGTGTACCAGCTATGGAACATATTTTGGAACTAGTCAGATGGGTCTGCTGATTTACCTTCTTACGATATATGCATGAATGCTTATATACTGCTAATATACAGTTTAGAAGCCCTATAAC